ATTAAAAAATTGTTTCCTTTTTTCCTCTTCCCCATTTCCTTTCCTTCTTTCTTCTTGTCTTTACCTCCTTCAGTCCTTTGTGTTTTTCAACCTTTCCGTCCTTAGTCCATTGCATCTTCTCTTCCTTCTGTGATTTTTGTTTCCCATGTCCTTTCTTCTTTTGACCCCCCTTTCTTACATCCTTTCATATGTCCTACCTTGTTCCCTTCGTTGTCCTTTCTCTCTACTTTTAATTCCTTCCTTCCATGTGTTCATTCTTCTATCTGTCCTTTTTCACTTTACCTTTTACCATTTCACCCTTGTTTCCTTGGTCTGGAAAAGTAAAAAATGTTGCACATTATTATGTATTTTAATTGGTGGTTAGTTTTGTAACCCTCTTTTTTTTTATAAATGGGTATTTTTTTTACTTATCCTAAGACCTTCTTACCTCTAAGGCCAACATGAGATTAAAAAGTAGCAGAAATAACCTCTGGACGCTGGGTGTGTTCAGTTCTGGCCAGACAGGATGTTCACTCATAAACAAGTCGGTGACCTAGATTAGAAAGGGAGGGGAAAAAAACAACAAAAAAACAAAACAAGAAATACAACAATATCATTGGCAATAAGCAGAAAAAAAACAAGTATAATTATGCTAGCTAGCTCTAAAAGTGCAAACAGACAAATCTTCCATCCTTTTATTTTCCTTTTATTAAACAAATACTATTATAAGCTAATCATCTTTTTGACCATTCTTCTCTTCTCTCTTTGAGTAAATTACTCAAATTCTATTATCCTTATGGTCTTACTCAAGTAATGACATGCCACTTAGTTCCTACTAATGACTGATTAATTAATGTTCTTGTACTTTTAGCCACTGGGAAAAATGAATAACCAGGGCACTGACCATAGTTTAGAAAGCACCATCATTCTGCTAATTAAATGTTTTCCTTCGAAAAGCCCTAATTAACCTTAACTCCCAACCAGTTCAGTTTACGTCAAAGGACAGTGTTGTTGAAAGCATTGCGCTGTATTCTTGTTCAGAGATTGGGGGGGCGGGAATTTCAATTTGTATGTTGTAAATGGACTTGAGGTAGGAGTGGGAAATGAAGTGCAGTGGCCTGGAAGTGCACTTTCTAATGGTAGACATGACGGACAACGTAAACATGAGCTCTGAAGTCATTTTAAATTTTACTTAATCGCTTTGCTAATCTTGCCTGTGGTCTTTAAACACTGAGCAAGAATGTTAAAAGTAATGTGTTTAACTTTGGGTTGTGATCTCTGAGGAGCAGACGTTGCAGAGATTAATCCAATTTTCTCATGAGTAAACAAGTCTTGGCGGCAGGCTTCAATGGAGCTATCTTAGAGGCTTAATGAGACGCTCCACAGCATTAGCACTATCTAGTTTTCAGGCTCTTCTAAAAGCTGTGCCTCCAAGAGAAGTAATTTATCAATCAGTTGGGATACTTGTGAATTTTACACCCAGATTTGCAAACTATAAGTAGGATAAAGTTGCTAATATCGGGGCCAATTACTTTATTGAAGTGTCCACAGGTCTATGGAAGTATGAAGTGATTTTAAATAACCAACATTCCTCTCTTTATACCCAGTGCTTCTGTGATTCTGCATTGTAGAAGGAATTTCTTGTGTATAACCTAAAGTATGCACCTAAAACAGCCAGTGCTCAAAGTCAATAAATCACTTTCTTTGTGTTTCTTGGAATGTCTTAGAGACATTTTCCATCTGTAAAACACCTCTATTGCTTGTTCATATGCTCTGCAGGATGAGATCTACAAAACCACTGGACACACAGTCTGTATTTAATCATTGAGGATTAAATACATATGCCCCATACGACTTTAGGCTAAAAAGTGACATTAGTCAGACCTCTGAACAGTGTATGTGTTCAGGTGAATAGCAGTCACAGCTGGATGACATACCATGCAGACTTTTTTCATTTAGCTAGGGTAGAAATGTGTTTACTATATTGAAATGGGAGGATGTTGTTGTGGCTCTAGCAGGTCCAGATGTTAACTTTTCTCTGCCACTTTTGATAGCCTGGTCATTCAGTCCTTAATGTGCTGTTGTAAATGACTCATTATAGTTACCTGGGTAAACTACCAAACTCTGCTTTTATCAGAGTTTGCAAAGATGTTGTTTACACCAGCAGGTGGTTTTTGTTCAACATCAGCCAACATGGTGAAGTTGTTGTTGTTCTTCCATGTTTTTTTTTTCCCAGCTCATAAATGCTACACTCTTTGTTGTGTGAATGGAAAATATCACCTGTTTCATCATTATCTGGTTACACTGGTCACTTATTGTGTAAACAGATACCTCAGTATCATAGTATTAGTCCGAGAAGTTGAAAGTTCTCTCAAAAAAAAAAAAAAAAAAAAGAAACATTAGGTATATTTCAACTTTCACTTTAAATTGTCGTTGTAATTGCAGCCCGGGTTTTGTTTACGGAAATTCTGCATGACATTTAAATTATGAGTCCCTTATTCAGATGTTTTACTTATTATTCTAACAAACTACAACTCTTGATAATGTAAATCTCAAAAGCACATGTTTAAATATCTCTATTTCCTCAAAGTGTTGAATCTGCTGCAAATCATCACTATAAAACAAAATGCTGTAAAGGGCTGACATATTTTGTTTGAGATGGACGGTTAAATAGTGTCTTGACCATCCTCCATTCCTCTATGCTGTTTATTTCTTCTGGTCAACCTTAACAAAAAAGGTTTCAAATTTCATGAAAAATGGGTAATTCAATCCGTACTCAGTGTTTTGAACTTATCAACATGGATTTAGGACGCAAATGCGTGCGTGCACACGCGCACACACACACACACACACACACACACCTGCATGCAAGCTAAGGAGGGAGTTATTACTGGCTGGACTGATAGAGCTGGAATTGATGATATCTGCTTAATGAACATCCTCCATGTTGGCAATTTAATCCACTGACTTCAGAGCATTCTTACTGACAGCAAGGTAGCTGAAAGGCCAAAAGAAGTTGGGGTAGGAGATGCCTGCTTATCCAGAACACCACATTTGAACTAAATGATGGAAAGGATTCTTGCAGTTTTTCTATTGCTCACTTGTTTGACCTACTCCCAGATTTCATCAGGCTCATTTAAAACACATTAGGCTGACAGAGTGCTGTTATGGCCCCAGCGATGAGAGAGTAGCAGGTCTCTTTAATGACGTGAGGGAGCCCCTCTCACTCTCCTCCCTGTCTACAGGAAACACTGATAAGAAGCTGAAAATGCAGCCTAAGAGCGCCAAGTCCCATACTGATATTTTCAGAGCTTGCTTCTGACCCAATATCCCCATTAACTGTAGTACCAAATCAAAAATTCAGTACAGTAAACAAGTTTTTCTTGTGCATGAAGGGATACATTTATTCAAAGGGAAGATTGCAAGAATACAATATAAGAAGAGGTACAGAAATTGCAGTGGAGTTATGGAAAGGTGCTAGAGTTACTAAGGGATCGTGTATTTTCCTTAAATGAGTCTTGACTGAACAGTAGAGCTCTCTTGGCATTCTGCACCAGATTAAACCATCATAAAAACATAAATGAGTGCCTTGAATTATCACACATCCTTCTTGAACTGCTTCTTAATCTCCTCCAGTCCATCTCATGCATCCAGAAGATCTGCTTTAGAAATACATTTTGCAACAAAAAATGACTGAATCGTCCAACCGTTTTTGTTGTTTTGGTTCACTTTGGAAATGTGTTCATATATCAACGATGTGTGTGTTTTCCTGGTGGAAGAGTTGATCTTGGGTTATATCGATGGTCTGGATGTGACATTTTTTGTAAAACTTGTTTGCCTTGCATTCAGAAATATTTCCAATGGTATTTAAGACAAAGAATCTTGCAGGGTGAACCAAAAGAGGGATGAGGAATTATTGGCAAAAGGTCCTATTGAAAGTCTGAATCATCAAAGCACAGACAAGGACTCGAAGGTACTCATTTTAACATCTGTGCATCATCAGCTCTAATTCAACTTCTCTGCACAGCCTGAAGCTACACCATAGCAGGAAAATACTGCCATCACAATGCAACATCCTCCATTGTACCTGCTACAAATGCATCCAGTAGAACTTTCTTGTACTGCCAGTTGCAATGGAAGCCTTTGCTGTTGGATAATAACTGTTGAATACCAAATTTATGGATGATTTTTTGCCTTTTAAAGTTGAATGGTCTTGTGAGCAACCCGTCTAAATGCCTTCCTAAACAAAATGCAGACTATTTTTATTGTACGCGTTTCTTTTCAGGAAGTGGGGATCTCTTTTTACAACGTGGTTATAATCCAGCAGCACAAATTAATACTTGTAATTTCTTCCCAAATCTTCAGATTATGTGCTATTCACCTTGTTCTGCAGAGCTTCTATGCACAGAGTGATGGTGACAATGACAAAACCAAGTCTCTGAGTTGTGCTGCAGCTTGGCAGACGGTCAGCTTACTGTTCTCCTGGGCATTGGCTTTAATAAGGCTAGACATGCCTTCCACTATTCTTAGAGCATATATGGCTCCTTCTATTAATAGCCCTGGTGATTTTGACCAGACAGCCCTCACATAAACTTCCCCATAGCCGCAAGCCTGCTTTCTCAGTGGGCTGCTTTGAAAAACAGTCGCTTCTTTTGTGATCTCCAGGAGAGGGGGAGTGTGATTGCCAGGTGGTACATCAGCAATAATTAAATGTGTTTCTAGGCCACTACATGCATAGTGTGTGCATGCTTCTGGACAATGCATGTGGGTAGAAGTGCTAGCTCATTTCCAGGGAGTTTGTGTCATCAGCCACCAGTGTCAAGCAAATTTGGTGCCAGTCTCCCTCTTTGCTCTTACTTACAATTGGTCAATTTCTTGCTGCAGCAGCAGGTAGACATGAATGTGGTCACTTTTCCATTGCATAAAGAGCTGATTAACACATTCATGGTCCGTCTGTTGTTTTGAATTGTTCATGGTATTTAGCTTTGAATGTAAACATTTCACTACATGTGCCTTTGCAGGTGTCTTGCAGGTGAGCGGAATGCGTGTTTACACATCTGGGGATGTTGAGGCGGTCAATGGGACAGACGTTCGTCTCAAATGCACATTTGACAGTTCAGCTAAGATCAACCCTGAACTTGTCATCGTCTCCTGGACTTTCAAACCCCTTTCAGGAGGCCGAGTAGATAGGGTGAGTTCATGTGTGTGTGTGTCTGAGCAGAAGAAAGGGAGAACAAATCTCTCACCTCCATTGCTGTGTCAGGGTGCAGCCACCCCCTCATCCAGCCAAAGGAGGAGGTGGTGAGTCATAAGGCTCCCAATAGAGCATCTAAGACAGCCTGTCTTTATGTACCTTTGTGTCTGTATATTGAGATTTGAGAGAATAAGAAGCAGCACATCCTAATAAGTCTGCACTCATTAAAATAAAATAAATTCTTCTTTTTTTATTATTTATTTATTTATTTATTTTTTTACTATTTTTCCATTTGTAGATTTTTCATTACCAGCAAAAACCATATCTGCCTCCCGATGGCATCTTTAAGAAGCGCGTCCATTGGGCTGGTGATATCATGGGGAGCGATGCCTCCATCATACTTCGGGAGGTCAAGTTCATCTATAACGGGACCTACACCTGCCAGGTGACGAATCCTCCTGATGTTCATGGCCCGGTTGGGGAGATTCGTCTTCGTGTCGTCAAAACAGGTGAGCACCTGACATTTTGCAGAAAATGCACTCTAGGCATAAATCTGTCTGTGAATACATGGCAAAAAAAAAAAATAATTTTAAAATAAATGAAACAATATGTGCGACTGGCCACTGCAAAACTGGGAACTTACAAAGACAATCTGCTGTATAACTCCAATTATTATAAAATTATTTTGTTTCAAACTTGGGACTAAAATGATTACATCTACCTTGTCTCACAGGTTTTAAGGGGGAGCAAGGCTTTATCCCATTGTTTTTTTGTTTTTTTAAAACTGCTATTCACGGCTCATCCGGTGCTAATTTTCTGCTTGACCTTAATGTTAACAAATGCTGCATTTATTTTTCTACACCTGCACACCATGTCTTTTTCATTCGTGTGTTTTTTTCTTGTCACAGCTTCTTTCAACGAACTTCTCTACCTGGTCCTGGCCATTGGAGGTGGCATCGCCGCTGTGGTCTTTTGTCTCATAGTCATCGTGTCCTGCAGGAGATGCAAGAGGAAACACAGACAGAGGCAGCTGGAGGGCGATGAAGAGGTTCCCCGCAAAGAGAGGAAAGACCCCACGGCGTGGTAAGACCAATGAAGTCTAGCAGATGAAGAGGGGGGACTAAGAGGAGCAGAAGATTCACACGCTTTCTCTCTTCCTCTGCGAGAGACTCTGGGGATCAGGGCATGCTATGCTCCCTCTTGGGCTCTTTTCCTGCTTCATGCTTCTCTCTCTTCCTCCATATGCGACTCCTGCCTTCAGATCCCACATTTGTACCGGTAGCAGGCAGCTGTTGTCAGACAGAAAGTGAGGAAGAATGTGCCTTTATATAGAAAGTTCTCGATGCTGAACTTTAGCCATATTGCTGCTTAGCCTCTGTGGAATTACTATGCGCCTTTCATTTCTCGAGAGAAACAACTGTTTTATCGATTCATCTTTTCCTGTTTAGCTAAATGGGCCTCCAGCCACATTTCCTGTTTGGAGTAAATGTTTTGATGAAGAAGATGTAGAACAATGGTGTATTCTTGCTGTTTACTTCCCTACTAATACAATCCAAGCCCCATTGTACAAGTGCAGTGCATGACACGTGTTTGGTGTATTATTTCAAGAAACAATAGAAACATTGAGCACTTTCCAAGCTTCCAGTGAAAATGTATTTGATCACTTTATAAAAACCCTGCACAAAGCTCTGATCATTTTCAGTGGAGGTATGTGGTGACTGTCTGATCTAACCTCTGGGGTTTTGCTTATAGTGGATGTCTACACACCCCTGTTAAAATGCCAGATAAAAAATATTATCATCATGAATCAACATTTTCTATGCATATACATATATGTACATAAACCAGCACTCAAGCCACTTTCTTTATTCAATTTCAGCATTTAGTCTTCTCAGAGAGACACTGTACAAAGGCTATGAAGAGATAAGGGTGAAAACACTCACAGCATTGTTTGTTTTTTTTTTGTTTGTTTGTTTTTTTTCTTTGCATGGGATGGAACTTGTATTCTTTATGGGCAAAGAGTAAAATACTTTGTTTCTGATGAAAAACAACCAGGCTTGCCAACAAAAGCAGCCAAAATTACACCATTCCCACTGTGAAATATGGCAGTGGTAGCACCAAGAGCTGGGGTTTATTTTTGGGAGACAGCACTAGTCTTCTTCTTTTATTTTTTTCTTTTTAATTTTTTTTAAACATCTTAAAAAAATCTCCAGGTGTCTGAAGGATTTTTTTAAAAAAAAGTAAACCTGAGAGTTTAAGATAAAGTGTTTTTTTTTTATCACATGTTAAAGTCAGCAAAGCAGCTTAATGAGAGAGAAAATATTTTTATTGCTTAGCTATAGTTTGGACATAAAAATCTGAGGAGGTTCCTGAAGAGGGTTCCTGACTACTGCTGAGTCTTACAGATTTGAAGAGCTTTTCCAGTGCAGATATTGCCAAGTTACGATGGTGGATGCTCACTTACTCCTACCAAAGAAAACTGAATGCTGAAATTGAAAAGTCGAATATTTTACAATTGTTGCAACGGTTTATGATGGTTTCAACTCTTTCAACTCTTCTCCTAAAACCTGGAGTTATAACAGGGGTGTCAACACTTACAAAGCCACTGACCATTTCTGTTCGAAATCACTACTGAAGTCATGTTACTGTGTTTTTATTTGCTACTGTGTTCTTATTTCTGTGATATGATAAAAAAGTGTCTTTCAATAATTACACCTGATTGTAAGCACTTGTTGGAAACAGACTATTTTTTACATCTTAAAATATTGTACAAAAATACAAATAATTGCAGTTAATTTTTCTATTGATTGATTTTTTTTTTTTTTTACATTTTACATTGTCATTTTTTATGTAGCATTTCTAATAGCTGGTTGTCTGTTTCAAATAATGTGCTGTATTTTCTTGGGGACCGGAGGTTTCTCTTCCAGTTTGCTGGGTTTTCAGATCTTTCTGTAAGGGTTGCTTTAACTCTCACCACCACCAGTAGAAATCACTTCTTTTTCTTTTTTTTTTTCTTTGCTTATATCGTTTATGATCATATTTATTCAAGCTTCAAAATAAATCATTCATTCAAAAACTCTGAGAAGGAAGGAAATGATTCCGACCCAAAACAAATGCAGATGAGTGAACAGATTGTATCCAAACTTTTCTCAGCCCAACCCAGTTTGATGCTAATCCATTGTACCCTCCTTCTGTGTTTGTATTTATTGGTCTTGGTGTTTTCCTACTTTATCCCAGCCACCCATCAAGGGCCGTCCACCTCTACCTGTCAGAGACATCCATAGAGATTGACAGTTCAGATGGCATGATCTCAGACCCCAGCACCGGAGACCCAAGCTCCTCCGAGGATGAAGGCCCTAGCTCGGATGATGATGGCGGTGACTCTGACTAAGAAGGACCAAACAGAGATAGGAATGCTGATGAGATCCCATCAGTAAATGTCCTGGAAGGAGGCTCTAAGGGCACCTTTGGATTGCACTCTTCTGCTAAGCAGAGGCTTGCTGAAGGAAGTGCCGCTGCGGTGAAAGTGAGAAGATAATGAAAATGTGAGGAAAAACGAAGAATATGAATCTTTTGGAGGGGAAATAAAAAACAAGATTTCTGTAGAGATCTCAGATGAATTTCAATGCTTGGAAGCAGTTCTAAAGTAAAACAGCATTCCTGTTTGGAGGGTCCATAAATGTTTGAGGAAATGAAACGGTGGATCAAACTCGAACAAAACCCCAAAGCTTATGTGACAAACTGGATTGTGGACTTAAAGCTGGCCTGGCTAATGTGGAGAGTATGTTTAGCTTTTGTTGGAGCTTTCTGCTGGTTTACACATGAATCTTCTTAGCAGAACAAATGTTTGCTGTAATACTGAGCCACACAAAGTGTGTTACATTTCGTGAGTTGTCCAAAGACTGTTTTTAACATGGAAATATCTCCAGTTATTTGTAGAGATACACAAATTAATCATCTGATTGATTTCCAGCTTGATGTGCGCTGACCGGTGACTATACCCAAACACCAACAAGTCCAGGTTACAACAACACTCTTTCATGTAGGTGCTGTTACCGGTGAAGAGGACTCGGTTGGCTATTTTCAGTATGTGAGTTGTTTAACAATGAAGTCAGAACATGGAGATGTAAGAACCTACCAAAAAGGAAACATGACAACACTTGTGTGCAGTTCACTGAGGCTGCGACAGAGCGAGATGGAGCAATACTTTCAGAAGGTAACAGGAAGGCTGAATGTAATACACCAACGTTGCACTCTTTAATCCTTCAGAACGCCTTTCAACCTCTGTCTGTCATGAGAAATGGTGGATTAAGAAATGTTGGCAGTTTTTTGGAAATCTCAAAGCTGTGATAAAGATTTCTCCAGTGAGTACATGTGGAGGCTGCTGGTTTAGTATTGCTAGCCATGCTAACTGTGTTCATCTCTAATAAAAGATCAAAAAGTCTGTTTAAAATGTGATTATGACTTCACTTGTTTAAAAGTATTTGTAAAATCCTCTTTAACACCAGTTGCTCCCTTCATAGAGTATATGCTATTTATGTTAATTTCTGCACTTAGAGAAATCTTAAGCAGCTAAAACTGGTATTTAGAGGTCAAAGCTTTACACAAAACAGAGATTGGAAACATAAAAATACTGATCTGTCAGTTTCGTCTTTAACTTTACAAGTAACACTTGTTTTTTGGGGTTTTTTTTCACAAATTTGTTGTTTCTCTGGTTGAGTTTGTGTTCTTTTGTTGCAAAATATCATATTTCACAGAAATATATTTACATAATTGAACCAAAAAGAAAAAAACAAACAAACTGAACTTCCACATATTCAACTGGATTAATTAGTCCAACTTAGAAATTGGTCGTCAAACCTGACTTAGCCAGTCCCTGTTGTATTTGGTGACCGTTCCTTTTGTGGAAAAATACTCTGTGTTAAGCCTGGTGTCGTTCTTCCGCCACACCTGTCCTGTTTGCTGTAGGGATTAGTTGGTGTCCGATCCCTTTACCAGTCATCTTTAAAAAAAAAAAAAAAGCTTAGTGTTTTTCCTTAAATTCTCCCGGACCATGCCATGTTGTTTTGCTAAAAATTGACAAGTTTTGGAGATTTTTTATTTGTTTTGTTAGGACATTTAAAATCCTAAAGTAACCTGAGAATTAAGCCCAAGCAAGTTGAATGAGAAGCAGAGTACTTTACATTAAGACTTAAGTAATACGTCACATCAAATTTCTCATATTAAACGCTAAGAATGTGATTTTTTTTTCTTTCCTTCTGTCTAAAAGCCAAAGATTTGATCAGTGGGAAGCAACTACATGTACACACCTGCCCTGAAACTCATGTGGGAGTGCACAGTAAGATCTGAAAACCCATTCTGATTGCAAAATGTCCTTGTAAGCCTGTGCTCTATTCTTTCATTTGTGAATGCATTCCAACTAACAAGTATGTTAAAATGCCCGTATTTCAGATTTTTGTGGCAGATTTTGTATTTGTGTTCAAAGTGTTTTAGATTTATAAGAAAATGTTACATTTGTATTTGTAATAGAACTTTTATAAAAAAAATAAAAGTTTTCTAATAAAAAAGCCTTTAAATCTTTTTTTTATGTTGCCGTATTTTAATTCCAACAGAGTGTCTCATAAAAAAAAGAATCCTGTGAAACTATTTGAAAGTGCTCATTCATTACGTAACAAAATACAGTTCAGCCACATAATTTGTATTTTTAATGCACTGTATCCATTTGTGTAATTATGACTTCTTTGTCTGCAGAGCTCGTCGCGTGCTTACCTGTAAGCGTGACAGTAGTGAATGTCTTTAACTTATTGTGCATTCACTATGCTAACTCCCTCTGCTGTTATTCCTGTCTGGGTTTCATTGTCGAATGCTTGACTGTTCATGACTGTGAATACGTGGTTCCATTTATTAGCTCGTGCGTTTGAGTCTATTTGTGTGTATTGATCAAAGTCTGCCCCTGTGGGTGCAGCTTTGGTTACTGAATGACAGACCTTGAATGTGGGCAGAATTACACACAGAAGAAGGCTTCAGTCACGCTCAAGAAAAAGCTAATGTGGGGGGGGGGGGGGGGGGGCGTTTTTTTTTTTTTACTTAAAAAAAAAATTTCCCCTGTCGAATTTTGTAAAAACTAAAAC